TTTCCACCCCCTCCGAACCCTTTCCAAACGCCTGCCAGAGCAATTAGCGCTTTTTATCCTCGCTGTCAAAGGAGTTTGCTGGTGAAAAGAGGCTTCCCGGCCGTTGAGGGAGGTTCATTATCCCCACCCTGGAGACAGCCCAGACACCAACAGCGCGAATTGCCCTTCTTCCCACAGCCTGCCCTCCCTGACCCCCGCAGGGCCGGGAGGGAGCACCCTCCTCATCCCCGGGCTGGGCTGGGGGCTGGCAGGGGTTTTTGGGGGGACTGAGAAGGGCATTTCTTACACTCCCAGCGTTCAGCATCGCTGAGCTGGCAAGGTGTGCTGAGCCAGTGTCTCTACGGGCAATCCTCGACTGCTCCTGAGGGAACTCCCACTGGAAGTTGTAGGGCTAATTTAGACTCAGAGCCTTCAGAAATTCTGCTTCCTTCTTCTCACAGGAGAACCTGTCAGTGGTTCTTTTTTTACTGTCTGATCTGCCATAAAAGAACTGATTATTTTTACTCCTTCTTTCCTACCTCTGCTCCCCAAAGTTGTGCTTTATTATCTGTATTTAGGTGCCCAAATAAAAGCCATCTGTTTGGGGAGATTGCTGAGCACATGCAAATTCTGCCAAAATGAGTGTGAATGGCAGATGTTTAATCTGTAAATAATGGAGTGAATTGCAGATATTTAATCTGTAGGTAATGGAGCATATGCTCTAATAGTTGATGGAAATTTCTTGAGTGGAATTCAGCAACAATAATAAAAGTTTGGGCTCTGTATTTACGGTGTTGAACCCACCCCAAAAGACCTCGAATTCCTACCAGGTTCGTCAAGAGCTGAATACAGAATATTCTTGGTGCCTTGTTGGATATGAAAGCAGTGCCAGAGTTCCAGAAATCCTGTCATATTGGCAGGAATGGGAGTCCTTCCACACCAAGCAGGCAGGCAGCGGCTGCAGCAGGGATCTCCCTGGCTGGGTCACAGCCAGCAGGGACAACAAAGGGCAGAGGATTAGCTGGAAAAAGCTTCATCTTGAAAAGTGAGCTGAGCTGTTTGCAAGCCCCATTCAGCTTCCTGTTCCCGGTGCTGGGGGTTGTTGTGGCTGAGTGAGTAGGATGAGGACGGGCTGAGCAAATGTGTGACCAGCAAAAAATGCTATGAACCCATGGCTGCTCTGCACACCAGCAGGGACATTTCACCTCATTGCCAGTTCCTGGGATTGGTTCTTTGTAAAAAAATTGCTTTTTCAAATGCCTTGGAGTTTCTGGAGATGGGTGAGGCAGGAAAACCTGTCAGGCTTCACCAGACAGAGTTAGTGAGAACTATCTCTGTCCATGGAGACTGAATAAAGGATTGGAAAAAGCCCTAAAACACACCTTGGGGGACCACTGTGTGCCAAGCCTGCTGAATTTTATAACACACTTCGTGGGCCCAGGACAGTTTTATCCACAATATCAGCGTGAATTTCTGATGGGTTTGGTACAATGGAACACAGGGCAAACTTTCCAACAGCAGTGTTTTGGCTGTTCTCTTCTTTTCAGCCAATTTGCTCTGACCCCTCTCCACTCCACCTTGCTGCTGGTGTTCACAGAATCACAGAATTACAGAGTCATTGATGTTAGAAAAGGCTCTGAGACCATCCAGTCCACCCTGTGCCCCATCCCCACCTTGTCCCCCATCTCAGAGCAACATCCAGTCCTTCCTTGGACACCTCCAGGGTTGGGGACTCCAATTCCTCCCTGGGCAGCCCCTGTCAGTGCCTGATCACCCTTTCCATGAAGAAATTCCTCCTGATGTCCCACCTGCCCCTCCCCCGGCACAGCCGGAGGCCGTTCCCTCTCCTCCTGTCCCTGTTCCCTGGGAGCAGAGCCCGACCCCCCCCGGCTCCCCCCTCCTGTGACTGGATGTCCCCTGGCCCTGCTATGACCAGAGAGGTCTCTACCAACTCCCCTAACTCCCTCTTGCTCTGGCACAGGACGACACCGACAGCATCTGCTGCCAGGAGCAGATAAACCGCTCCATCTACTGGGCCGACGGCTTCGTCTTCGTCTACTCCATCACGGACTACGAGAGCTACCGCGTGCTGCGCCCGCTGCACCAGCACATCCGCCGGATCCACCCGCACGCCAACATCCCCCTGCTGCTCGTGGCCAACAAGGGCGACCTGCTGCGAGCCAGGCAGGTGTCCTCCACCGAGGGGCTGCAGCTGGCCGGGGAGCTGGGGGGCTCCTACCACGAGGTGTCGGCGCGGGAGAGCTGCGAGGCCGTGCACGAGGCCTTCCGGCAGCTGTGCCAGGAGCTCAGCAGGATCATCGGCAGCTGCAACGGAGAGAAGCGCCGCGGCCTCCACCTCGTCCGGCCCAAGTCGCCCAACATGCAGGACCTGAAGAGGCGCTTGAAGCAGGCCCTGAGCTCCAAGGGGAAGTCTGCCACCGCCCTCTGAGGGGCCGTGGTTTCCACAGAAAGGCAGCGAGCTGGAACAGTTCGGGTTGTGGGAGAGGCTCTTCCGCCTGGTCTTCACATCTTCACCAAAAAACCTGGGCTCGTTCTGCAAAGGAACCTGCAGAACTCACTGGGTCTGCAAAGGAACCTACAGAACTCACTGAGTCTGCAAAGGGACCTACAGAACTCACTGGGTCTGTAAAGGAACACACAGAACTCACTGGGTGTGCAGAGGAACTCACAGAACTTGCTCTTTGAGGCAAGAATTTGCAAACTGTAATTTTAAAAAAAGGGTTTTGTCCCCAGTTCTTCCCGTTTTGAAAGGGGCACGGTGAAACGGTTTAGTCTTCAGAAGTGGATTTCGTTAATAAAAGCGATTAAATCCTGCTGTTAAGAAGTGTGCCTTCTCTTGGGGATGGTGGTGTTGCCAAAAGCAGGCCATGAACTGCAGCAGGACACGAGGAGAGAGGCATGAGCTGGACTGAGCAAGCAAAAGGCACCAGATTTGTTTGGTCACCAGAGTGGGAAATAAAGGCAAAACGTCAATGAAGAGCATGAACAGTGAGAAGTAGTAACTGAAAGTCTCTAAATGGCAGTTTAGAAAGTGTTCTTAGAAACCTGGGGAGAGATTTGTTCAAATGCAAGCCTCAGCCTTCAAAGGGAGCTTTTTTTTAAATCACTATTTTTCCGGATTATTTCTCTTTAAAAGCACGTTGACTGTTTCTGAGAGTGATTATCTGGGCAAAACACATCCTTGGAGCAGCGTTTGGCAGGCAGTTTCTCACACTTCTCATTTTTCTGAAGGATTCCTACGTGGCAACAAGAAAGGGACAAATAAATGGTTTAAAACCTGCCCCCCAAATGGACTGTATTGATCAAGAGCAAGGAGCTCACCCAAAACTATTGAACTTTTTTGTTTTCCCCAAGCTGGTTAGACTTCAAGATGCTGTTTTAAAGAAACAAGGCCCTCACGTGAAGTGTTTAAATCATTCGGTTTGTTGGGTTTTTTTAAGGAAGAAAGGTTTTTACGATGCCTGACAGTTTTGGCTCGGTGAATTCCTGATTTTGTTGTTCTGCTGGAGATCAGAGCTCCCTGGACCCCTCCCAGAGCACCCAGATGATGTGAACACACCCTTCAGCAGCAGTGCCAGCATTCCAAGGATTTGAAGCTGTATCCCATGGGCTGCCCTGGTTTATGGGACCAGCAACAACTACAGGAACTTCCATCATCCTGCTCGTGGTGAGAGGGGCTTGGACCACCTAAAATTCCTGATGGAACAACCCTCCCTTCAAACAGACCCACAGGAGCGACCCCGAGGAGGTGGAGCTGGGTGATTTACACTCAGGGACACAGGAGGGAACCCCAGCTTTGCTGGATGTACAGAAACACCCCCAGCTGCGCTTTCAGCTGGAAATGCTGAGCTAAGTCAACCTTCTACTCATCCTGAGCAGCACAGCTGTAAATTGAGTCTGATGAGCATTTGTGGAGCCCAGGGCTTGAAAATGCATTTTGTATTTTTTGTGGCCCCACATCAGACAACTCTGATCACCTGGACTGGCTTCATCTACAGCTCACCTTCTGGTTTATTTATTGTTTTCCACAGCTGGCCCTTGAGAATGTCTCCTGTTCTGATTAATTTGAAATTCTTTTGCTCCCACAAATGACCTGCAGCTGTTTTTAAATTCGGTTTCGAGTGGTGGTGGGAGGAGGAAAGGCAAGTTCAGCCACCCAAAGGGGGTCTCAGAGGATGTTAGGGGGGTTCTGCTTTGGGTGATGGTTAATGAACAGTCTGATGGTTGGGCAGTGTCAATAATCACCACAGGCACTTCGGAATGGTATTTATGGCCCAGAATGTCAATGTTTCAAGTCACTGATAGCACAGCTCAAATATTGAATCTAAAGATTCAATAGGTCAAATATTGAACCCGAAGATTCAATCCCATGAAACAGAGCAGTTTGCCAGAGACACACAGACTGAAGTGTCTTTCCACTGGAAAAATGATCACCAGTTTTGAATGGCAATTAATTATTCTGCCATCCCAGGACTGTGTAACAGGGGCTAAACATGCTGAAGACAATTTGCTGCCGTTTGTTTTCATCAAAGCCTGAGAGAGTTTGGTGCTCCAGCCTGTGAGATCTGTTTGCAACTCACTCCTTCAGCTCTAACCCTTTCTTATTTGGGAAG